GGCTGTAAACTGTCTTAGATCTTTGAAATATCGTCTCAATAGAAAATCAATGCAAACCATGTATTCTTCATTTGTCTTACATATCTTCAATTACTGTGACGTTATATGGGATGGGTGCACTGCAAAACTAAAAGACATGTTAGAATCTCTCCAATTAGACGCACTCATGACTATATGCGGTGCTGTCTAGGGTACCAGCCACAGACTATTATATCAAGAAACTATGGAGGTCAATTTGCGCCATTAATCCATTCTCTACCGATTTGTCTAATTCACTGATTCAAACACAAATGTAAAATATCTTATTACCTATTACTTATAATTCAAACAACATAATGATTGAAATGCTAAAATCAAATGTTTACATTCACATGTAACTTAACTAAAGTCCTTTCAAATAATTCATTTAGCATCTTCCAAAAATTTTTAATGAAAAAAAACCGTCCTTTTTGATAAATATCAGAAGTATATTTTAAACAGTAAAGTGTCATTTGTAAAATGGAAAATGTTTGTAGTAAAATGATAAGTGCAACTTCTGTAGTGTATTATGTCTTCTGTTTTATTTCAAATGAATTATCTTTTATGCAAATTACCAAGGTCGCGACCCTATTGAATATTCAGCATTGCTACGTCATTCTTTTAAACAATGACTGCTCCCTTCAAGGGAAAGATGATTCTCATGAGGGCCTAGCTACTTCACAATTAAAAAGATGTTTGCTGTTGATATTTTGTCTGAAATCAGTCAGAGGATATGTAGAGAAGCAGACAGTTTGGAGTCCGGACAATCTTTACAAGATTCTTAACATCAACTTGAATGTGTTTGTAATATTTTAATGACAATTGATCTTGAACTAAGTGTGGAACTTAGATATTTTACATTTGTCTTTGAATCAGTGAATTAGACAAATCAGTAGAGAATGGATTGATGGCGCAAATTGACCTCCATAAGAAACAGGTGTAGTAACGCTACAAGAAAGACGACTGCGCCATAAACTAACTATGTGTAAAATTTATAACAACTTAACTCCAAATTACCTTTCCAATCTGATTCAATTAAAAGTTTACAATTGTAGGACAGAGTCATTTTATAGATCTTTTATACCATCTAGCATTAGAGAATGGAATAACCTGTCAACAAATATAAAAAATGCACTTTCCATCGAAATCTTTTGAAGCAGCCCTCAAATCAAATGACATCATTGTACCCTAATCATATTGCTTTGGCTCTTGCAAAAATCAAATCTTACATTCTCGCCTTCGTCTTTCTTGTAGCGATCTAAATGGACACAAATTTCAACGACACGTTTCGGACAACCCTACTTGCCTTTGTGGTCACCAATTCGAAGATCCTATACACTACCTACGCCATTGTCCGATACATTCAGATGCACGAA